TTGAAAAGTTAGCGTGTTTTATAAACGATTTATGATTATATGATCGGCTGCAGAATTAAATTCTGAACAAAATGATGTAACATTTAAACTGAATAATGAAAATCTTTAGCTTGTGCCAAATTAAAAGAGTCTTTTGCGTCGTTTTCTAATTTTTGCTTGAAAAATGATTCTTTCATTTGTTTTTTTCCAAAAGTTGCGAAACATCGCGAGATGCAGCATTTCACAGAGTATATCTTGCAGCATGTTTCAAATTTCAGCAGAACTGTTATTTAAATATATTTTTAATAATTGTTTTGTTTTCTGACAATCGTAGTTCAATGATGCGAGAGGAGATACTTATTTGATGAACAAAGTCAACAGTTTTGTAGAGTGAAAAAGTTTCTATCAAATCAGTTTAGAATGATATCTTTAAACCGTGTTACTGTCTTCAAAAAACGAAGAAAATCAATTTATCCCATTCTTTATCAGCCACCCACCACATACACACAAATATAAAGAATATAAGAGAACCTTATTAAAGTGCTCTTTAATAATAACAACTATTATGAGGCATGCAAACAGTTCGTTCGTGATTTATGAATATTCCACTAGTAGCCAAGATAACAATTTCAGCTTCTTTTGCAACACAATGAATGTCGTGACAGATTTAATCAATGTTTGCTTAAGGGTATGTCGAGGTTTTTTGACATCGCGTTGTTATTTGCTTCTTTTTTTTTTTTATTGTTGAACTCATCTACTGGAACAATAACCGAAACATGCACTAGAAATTCATAAAATGAATGCATATCTGAAGCATAAGACATGATACGCGGCGTGCATGTTAATTAGATAAATTACAAGAGATTCTTAATTAAAACGTTATTTTAATGATCATTCTTGATTCATTTACTGTAGTAATACTTACTGAGTAGAGAGACAATAATTAATTACCATTATCAAAAAAAAAAAACCAACCGCGGAATATTTTGCTCTTTGATATTACGTGTTTTTCAACTTAATAACTATTTATTGTAACTTGTAATAAACCAAAAAACAAATCGTATTTATTATATTATATAAATTAGAATACAGTCAATTGGAATAAAACTTGATAGTATTTATTCTTGATAAATACTATGAATATTTTACGTATAGATACTTAGAAAAAGATTTATTTTGATACAAAACATATTAAATTAGTTTTTAATATTTTCTTTCAAGCATCAAAAGATGACTGAAATAAAAATTTTGTTGTTAATATTATTTAATATAAAAAGAGTTGTTCAATCTCATCGAACTGGAAGAAATTTAAATAAGATCATGACTATTCTAGTTTCAGTTTACCAATTGCGCTTTCTCATTCTAACTCTAGAACAACATTAGCTTTCTATCTTGTTACTCATTTTCTGCTATAGTCCTATGGCGCAGTAATCATTATTGACGCGTATTAAAGCTTTTAGCTGTTTTATAAATTATCGAAAGCATTGAGACATGATGTCCGCTATGTAGTTTTTTTTAAACGTAATTATGGCTGATTTATCGTTCTATGTGCATCCATATTTCGAGTTTTTCTTTTTTTTTGCTATCACTTACAACAACTTTGTTGTGATAGGCGAAGTATCATTTTCTCAATATATTACAACTTGTATTTTCATATGTAGTATTTTTTTTGAAAGTAAACTTACGACATTCATTAATAATTATTGAGAAAAAAAAACGCATAATTCATAATTAAAATCTAAAAGTTAATGATAATTTAATTGTTATAATGATGATAATAGAGAGAGTAGAAAATTGTTATTTATATGTCAATATAAATATTTACTTTAAAAAAAAATGATTATCAATGATAGTTTTGATCGTGATAGAAATATATTTCAAAAATTTGAGAGATGTTCATATTATGTCCTATTCGATTTTGACTATATTCTATCAATAATTTGTTCTTGTTATCTACTTTTTATTAATAAAACTTGATAGTCATCAACCATCAATTTCATTTATATGTCTCATTTTGATGATTTATAGGCTTAGGTCTATATAATAAATTTACAATAATTACGGCATAATGTTCTATTCACTTGAATTTATTAATATTTTATGATTGAATAATTTTTCAATAGAAAGAAACATTTTTCTTTTTCATTATTGACTTCTAATCATTTTGCTTTTTTTTTTCTAGATAACATCAATAATCTTTCTGCTATGTATAAATACATTTGATTATACATAGATTGTTTGTGATGATTTTCTATGTTGTTTTTCTTGATACATACGATTCTATTATTATGAATACTATTTCTACTATCATTCTTCTTATTCGCATTCATTTTTACAAAAAAAACACGATGCATTTGTCTAACTATCTGATGGCGTTAACAACGTAAAATGACAACTCAACTATTTTCTAAATATATTCTATATCTCATTCTAAATATTCCATTAAATATTTTAATATTCTCCAGAAAGTAGAGGTGTTGAAATTCAACTATGCATTGATTTTCTATGCTATTTCATTATATTTCTATATCCTTTTGTTGTACGTCTTGTTTTTTTTTGCTATCAGAAAAAAAAAAATGCAATAAAAAGGATACTTTTTCTTTACGATGGCAAGAAAAAAATTCTATTGTTAGATCTCTATGAATAGATGATTGTTAGTATCTTGATGAACTACTATATAAATTTTCTATTCACTTTATTATATCGTGATTCAATGTAATTGTCATAGATGAATAAAATGAACAGAGCATATTGATTTTTGATGATGATAAGAAAATTGGAATGACACAATTTATAATTTTATCAAAGCAAATGATTTATATTATAAATTTGTATGAAAAGTTCTATGCAAATTTTGTTTACTAGATTTTTGCACTTGATTCACTAAGTGATGATGTTTAGAATGACCTAAACATATTTTTGTAGGCTATCCATAAGAGATAAGAAAAGTTATATATTACGCTTGTCTACTTGAATG